TTGCAAGAATTAGTACGTGCAGGTGCTCGTTTAGATATAGTGGATGATACTTACTGGCGTACACCTTTACACAGTGCTGTTTTGAATGGGTTCTGGTGCCGTGTGAGGACCTTGCTGATGCTGCGGTAGTTTTCGTGAAATTTTTTTCTCGTTTTTTTTTTTTTCTCAAGTTTTGATATAAGTTTTATGAGCCATACTGTTAACTTGGAATTGTGGGTGGTATTTGCTTCTCGACCAGCAGAATACTTGTTGTTTTCTAATTTTCTAGGTCACCAGTTAATTTAAAAGACAAAGAGGGAAAAACCGCTTTAGGCTTGGCATTACAACTATCTTCATGTAACCGAGCATCTAACTACAACATAAAACGGATTATTTATCTTCTTTTGGAATATGGTGCTGATGTAAACACAGTACTAGAAGCTGAATCGAAAAACAAGTCAGCTTTAGTTTGTAATTTTGTTCTAATCAAAAATGTTATCTTCTTTACATTGGTTTTTATCGTGTACTGTTTTATGAGCCAACCGGTACCTAGTTTTTAGGTTTGTCGAATACTTGGTTGAATACAAAAAGAAAGTGGAGAAATTATTTAGCACTGCGCTGTCCAAAGTCATTGTGTAATAAATTATTTGTAAAATTTGAAAACAGTATTTAATCCTTCAGTGATTATTATTTAACGTTTTTTTGGCCTCGTTACCATTTTAGGAATATGTCTGTCCGGAATTCTGCGACTCCTGTTATGATCAGAGGGATATGGGAATTTAACGGGCCGGATTTTGTTATTGAGCTTTCTTTTAATTTCAATTCTGCTGAATTTATAAGCAAACGCTGCTTTTATTGCGTGATCTTCGCGATATTTGACTATCGTGGGCCTCACGCAGTGCGTTTTTTTTGAGCCACGTTTACCAGTTTTTTGAAAAGCTTTACAGAATTCTATGAAGCTGTTCTTATCTTTTTGCCGATACGGCAGAAGTTGTTAAAATTGTGTTTTTAATTAACAGCAATTGTTTATGAGACGTAGAGTTTTGAAGTTTCTTTTAGCGAATTCGTATGTGGGGTGAGAGCCCCTTTGATAGTGTATCCGTTAATGGTAAGACAGTCGTTCCTTTGGAGCCTGATGCTAATAGATTTTTATATCCGGTTGATTTGGTTAATGGAACAAATCAGTTACTCTTGCGATTAAAGCCAGATTCAGCAAGCTGCAAAGTTATGCTTCTGACGCAGGTTTGATTTTTTTTCTTTTGGTGTAGTGATCCTGTTTTACTATTGAAAAATGCGGTTTATAACTTTGAGGCAATGAAACAGGGGAAGGTTTTTGGAGACAGCAGTTGATAATGTACTTGCTTTTTTTTTTAGAAGAAATATTATATGAAGTTGAAGAATTTTGGTGGTGAAGTTTCAGGTTGTTACTCTGGAATCACATAAAGCTGTAGCAGTTATAACTAATCCACCAACAAAAAATACCACAACATTTTACTGAATGGTCGCATCTGCCTTTATCCGTTTCCTGGTCACGGATCTTCTTGCAACAATCCTTAGTTATGACTGAGAAACAATATTGCTTTTGTAACTAAAGCTTTTGTAAGTACAGCTCCGTATTTGAAAAACAAATATATCGCTTGAAAAAAAATTTTCTTGTGACTTGCAAAATCTTGAATACAGGGGACATAGTAATATCACGTTCTTTTGTGTTACATTTAAAAATTTGTAAAGATTTTTATTTTCTATAAGAAGGCTCTTCTACTAATTAAAACTGTATTGGGAGGGAAAGGGAAGTAGGCCAAACCTACAGCTGTCACAAAGTTGGTCGGAGTTATCTTTTTTATAGAGAATAGTAGTAGTTCTGTACGTTCGCTGAAGTTCCAACTAATTGCTCTGCCACATGTTACAAAACCACTGAGAGATTATCGGCCGTGGCTGATTATGAATTGTACAGGTGTTTTAAATGATTTTAAGAGTGTCGCTAAATATTTAGAAAGATGCGTGTGCTGCGTGACTGTTATGTCGGGAAATTTTTGGATAAATTCGTTTCAATTGTTTATGTATATAAATGCGCACATTATGCATACGTTTCTAAAGCGGCTGAAAGCAGGCAGTGAAAGGTCGGTCAGCACGTTCTGACCAGATTGCAGTTTGGATAAAGACAGATGCTTGACGCTGTAAAGCTGTAGTTGTTTTCTTTCTAATAAAATATTAAGCACTTCTAGTGCAGAATTCGGATTTATTTAGTGACGTAGGTCTCGAGCTGTTACAGTACTCAAATCATCTCGTAAAAAAAAAATTCATATTCAGATTGTACACAGAATTTGAATGCGTCTTTCAATACAGTTTCTGTAATTTAGCCAGCAGAGGATTATCAGAGTACTAAAGCTTAATCGTTTTTTCTTGCACCAGCTACTGAAGTCTTTATAGGTTCACATTATTAATTGTAAAGATAATATTTCAGGAATTCCTAGTGCCACGGTACGTGAACACCTCAAAATTATTTTGCAGGAGTACTAACGGAAATAATGCGTGACGTTATGAGAATTAGTCAAGTAGAAATTTCTGCATTTTTATAAAGGTTTTTGAAAGCATAATTCAGCAGTCGAACGCATCTTTTTCTTATCGTCCACTGATGTGTGCAACTGGCAAATGATGTTTTACTTGAAACAAGATTCTACATAATATGATTATATTTTTAAGCTGCAAATACATACCTTTTAAAAAGCTACCAAGTAAAGTTAAAGGAAGATCCCTTTTGCAGAAAAGAAAAAATTGAGAATTACACAATTTTTGAAGCTTTACTAATTTAGAAAGTTCACATCCAGCGGTTTTTTTGGGTTTTGCATAAAAAATTAAAAAGTAGTTTCCTACCTTTTCCTGAACTTGCCAGTTATCTTGATTTATCCTTTTTTCAAGTATTGCTTGAAGCTTGGAAGATTAATCGAATCTTATAGACACAAAGGCCGACGTTCATCTTCTCATTGTCACAAATTCTGGATAAAATGACAATGAAAAGAAAGTTAAATTAATCTTGTTCTATAGGAAGTTCGAGAGGTTTCTCGCATTCTCTTAAAACTTCAGAATCTAAGACAAAACGACCATCTTACTTGGCGTCTTCTTTTCATTAGTTGAGCTCTTAATACAATAAGATTTTCTAGCAACTTCATACAAAATCGCTGTCAAAACAATTAGGCGTAACCCCCGAGAACGACTATTGGTCTAATAAGAAATCCCCAATGTTTATCAGCATTTTCTGCATACACGTTTTGTGGTTTTATTTTTCGAGCTGGTCTTAGTTACGATGACCAAGTGCACCTCTGTAAGGCTACCAAATACAACAAAAAATTGCTAAAAAAAGAGTAAGTTACAGACCTTATGATTTTTGAAGTTCCTAAACTCTTCATTTTGAGGAACGGAGTGACTGAAGAAATGTAGTGGAAGTGACTGGGTCTTGCTCATTCTTTGTTACACACATTCAATAGTAGAAACAATAAAGAGGATGAGAAGAAGAGGGAAGTTTCTCCATATAGTAAGCAATTTTCCTATGAATAATCGGGTTGGTTACAGGACAAAACTTCGTGCTAGGAAATGTCAGTCGGATCAAAACGGCCCTCGCTTTATCGTTGTAAAATGTCCATTGCTTGAAAAATCTAGACCAATATCCACAGGTGTCTGTGGAACAGGAAGTTTTGGCTTGCTTGTTCTTTGATTGCGTAAAGTTAAAATGTTTTTTTTTTTTTTTTACGACTACAAGTTCAGCTTGAGCACTGCTAATTCGCAAACAAAACTGTTACAAAGGTGCAGATAAAGAGTCAAAAATTGTTCCCTGAACAGTTTTTACGGTTAAAAAGCATCTCACTCTTTTTCAATGCTTCAAACAACTACCCAAATGATAAACAAATGAACATTAAATTTTCGTCCCAGGTATCTTCCGCGAGTATTTTTTTTTTTT